ACCTGCTGGGAGGGTGATTGTGACTGTTTGTGCGACTGTGTCTGCGGCAGAATGGGGTGTGGTTGTGAGAGTGTGCGCGGGGGAGAGACCCTGACTGTGGGACCGAGTGGGGGCGGGGCCTTTCGTGACACAGTGGTTAGCGGTCAAGGTGAGGTGTTTTATATTGTGATCCAGAGATCCTGGGACAGCGCTGTTGTGACTGACTGGACACTGGAATCAGAATTAACCCAGTGAGGCTTTTGTTTTATTCTTCAGAAAGCAGTTTCATTTTTACAGTTCGGGTGCTGAGGAATGCGGTCAAGATCCCAGTGTGGCCGGATACGTGCCTGTGGAACACCCCAAGGCCTCCTTAAGTTCATAGCTCTGTTTACAGGAAACTACTTTTTTTTTGGAGACAGAGCCTCAAGCTGTCCCTCTGGGTAGAGTGCCGTGGCATCACAGCTCACAGCAACCTCCAACTCCTGGGCTTAAGCGAGTCTCCTGCCTCCGCCTCCCAGTAGCTGGGGCCACAGGTGCCCACCACAACGCCTGGCTATTTTTTGGTTGCAGCCATCATTGTTGTTTGGCGGGCCCGGACTGGGTTCGAACCCACCACCTTAGGTGTATGTGGCTGGCGCCTTAGCCACTTGAGCCACAGGCGCCGAGCCTACAGGAAACTACTTTGAACACAGAAACAGATTCCAGCTGCAGACTTCAGTGAACCTGATTTTTATGATACAGGGAAGCATCAACAATACTCCATTCTTTCTCATACTCCCGGCTGAGTATGTTTTAAATGTAGTGATGGAAGCTTGTGAGTGGTGAAGAACGTGTTCCTATTTACACTGTCTGGGCTCCAAGAAGGCCAGGTACATGTTATGATTCTCTTTTCTTTCCATGTTTTTCTATTTTCCAAGAGAAGAGGCCTGAGAGGAGAAAAGCATTACAGCTGCACCTTGAAGTCAAGCTAGAGGTCATTTTGAATTTTGTGTTATGAAATGCATTGTTGTTCAGAATATGGATATAATTTCATCTGAAATGCCCTGCCCAATAGTGACTTATGTATTTACCTGGTCTCTAGTCCTTCTCTTCCCAGTTAATAACGGTGTCATGAGGTTAGAGCTCCTTCTTTCAGTACCTCATCAGATGCCTTTCCTAGAGTTAGTTTTCATAAAACCACTTGCCAGCTCTGCACCAGCCACATACACCAAAGGTGGCTGGTTGGAACCTGGCCTGGGCCATTAACTATACTGTCGAGATACTATAAAATAAAGCTGATTTTGTGTTTTGGTGCTGGCTGCAGTATCAGCTGACCCCATCTTTCGTCACTTGTTCTCTTGTGTCTTCTTTTATGTTTTATTTTCCTCAATTCCCACCACTACCACTCTGGTTTGTTCTCCTTCTTTGCACAGGCTTGCAAAAGTTGTCTGCTTTGGAAGACTTTAGGAGTTAGAATATTATTGTGAGTATGTACAGAGAAAGCTGTTGAGAAAGGCAGGAATTTTTTTCTGAGGGAATCCATTAGGAGTGTGGTCCCCAACCCTGGTGGTCTGTTGGAACCAGGCTGAACAGCAGGAAGTGAGCTGCAGGCAAGAGAGGCTTCATTTGTATTTAAACCGTTCCCCAGCTCCCTTCACTACCTGAACTCCCAGGTGGCATTAGATTTCTCACAGGAACAGAAACCCTACTTTATACTGCGGCATGTGAGGGAGACAGGTTGCAAGCTCCTTAGGAGAATCTAATGCAGGCAGTGCCTGTGGCTTAGTGGGTAGGGCACTGGCCCTATATACCGAGGGTGGCAGGTTCAAACCTGGCCCCGGCCAAAGTGCAACAGGGAAATGGCCTGGAGTACTCAGGAGGCAGGAGAATCATCTAAGCCCAGGAGTTGGAGGTTGCTGTGAGCTGTTTGATGCCACAGCACTCTACTGAGGGCGTCAGTAAAGTAAAACTCTGTCTCTACACACAAAAAAAAATAAAATAGAATAAAAAGAGAGAGAGAGAGTATCTAATGCCAGATGATCTGAGGTGGAGAAATAATAGGCTTGAATCATCCTGAAACCACCCATCCCTACCCCCTCATTCTCACTGTCATGGAAAAATTGTCTTCTGTGAAACCGTTCCCTGGTGCCAAAAAGGTTGGGGACCACTGCATTGGGAGATTTATGTAGTACCAGCCAGTTCTTGTATGAGGTTTGACAGCATTCAATTTTTTTTTTTTTTGGTTGTGGTTGTCATTGTTGTTTGGCAGGCCCTGGCCAGATTCGATCCTGCCAGCTCTGGTGTACATGGCTGGCACCCTCGCGGCTGAGCTACAGGCACTGAGCCCAGCATTCAATTTTTTTTTTTCAAGTCACACTGTTGTATAGACTACATGAGACAGTACAGTATAATGGTCTGAGTCTAAAGCAGAGATTAGCAAACTGTGGCTCTGTGGACCCAATCCAGTTTGTAGCTCATTTTTGTAAGACCTGTGAAGTAAGACTGGTTTTAACATTTTTCAGTAGTTGGCAACAAATCAAAAGGAGAATAATATTTCATTACATTATTCATGAACATTACATGAAATTCAAATTTCAGTGTCCATAAAGTTCTGAATTATCAATAAAAAATTGTATGTAGAAATTTGTTCTCTTGTTATATAAATTGGTATATAATATCCTTGATTTTGTCTCTTAGCTCCCAAAGCCTAAAATATTTACTATATTGCTCTTTACACAAAAGTTCACCAACCCCTAATCTAGAGTATCTGAATTTAAATCTACATTTTCCCACTCACAATGTATGGACGAAGTATACTCAATATCTTTTTATTATATAGTTTGCTTAATAACAGTATCAATTTCAAAGTGTTTTTATGAGGATTAGAAGAGTTAATATTAACAGCACTACAATGGCTGACAGTAATAAGCACTCTTATTTATTATTTTATTATTATTTTTGAGACAGAGTCTCACTCACTATGTTGCCCTCAGTAGAATGCCATGGTGTCACAGCTCACAGCAACCTCAAACTCCTGGGCTTAAGCGATTCTCTTGCCTCAGCCTTCCAAGCAGCTGGGAGTACCAGCGCCCACCACAACCCAGCTATTTTTTGGTTGTCGTTGTTTGGGAGGCCTGGGCTAGGTTTGAACCTGCCCACTCCAGTGTATGTGCCTGGTGCTCTAGCCATTGAACTACAGCCACCAAGCCTATTTGTTTATTTTTAATAATAAATTTATTATTGCCCAGGCTAGAGTGCTATGGCATCAGCTTAGCTCATAGCAACCTCAAACTCCTGGATTCAAGCAATCATTTTGCCTCAGCCTCCCAAGGAACTGGGACTATAGATATGTGCCACTGTGCCTGACCAATTTTTCAATTTTTAGTAGAAACGGGGTTCTCTCCCACAGGCCACAGGCTTTAGTGAGTTGCTGATTCTCTCTACTTTAACAGTCATATTTTAGATCATGTGAATATTACTTTATCTTGAAAAGTCCTAAGTAACAAAGATCTAAGAAGCTGTCCCCAGTTCCAGTGAGAGATGATACCAAACAGCCAAGGTCCTTCTGTTGGTTTCTCAATTCTTTCGCTAATATTTAGCATCTCCTATATGTTCCACCTTCTTTAAGAGTTATAAAATGGGCTCGGCGCCTATAGCTCAACAGGCTAAGGCGCCAGCCATGTACACCTAAGGTGGCGGGTTTGAATCCCCAGCCCGGACCCGCCAAACAACAATGATGGCTGTAACCAAAAAAATGGCCGGGCGTTGCGGCGGGCGCCTGTGGTCCCAGCTACTTGGGAGGCGGAGGCAGGAGACTCGCTTAAGCCCAGGAGTTGGAGGTTGCTGTGAGCTGTAATGCCACGGCACTCTACCCAGGGGGACAGCTTGAGGCTCTGTCTCAAAAAAAAAAAAAAAAAGAGTTATAAAATGAAATCCCTTGAGGAAGATGTATTTGACCATTTAAAGGGGGGGGGTGATTAAAAGAAGTGGATCTCATTTGACTATTCATGAAACAACTTGAATTCTTTTGAGTTTTGGAGGAAAAGATTGCCTTCAGTGTTGCCATCTCATAATTCCATAGATAACCAACGTCACAAACCACTTGCTCCAGTAACATACCAGGTCAAACAAACATCACTCACAACTAATCATTCTAAAGGTTTGTCAGTTTCTTGGCAAGTTAAACATAAACTTACCAATTATTTAGCAACTTTTTTTTTTTTTAGGCATTTACCCATGAGATATAAAAACATGCCAAGTTTGTTCACAATATATAAAATCTGGAAACATACCAAATGCTCATCAACAAGAAAAGACATTGGCTTGGTGCCCGTAGCTCAGTGGTTAGGGCACCGGCCTCATACACCAAGGCTGGCAGGTTTGACCCCAACTCGGGCCTGCTAAAACAACGATGACAACTACAACAAAAAACTAGCTGGGCGTGTGGCAGGCGCCTGTAGTCTCAGCTACTTGGTAGGCTGAGGCAAAAGAACCGTTTAAGCCCAAGAGTTTGAGGTTGCTGTGAGTTTGCGGATGCTGTGAGTTGTCATGCTACAGCTCTCTATTGAGGGTGACACAATGAGACTCTGTTCTCAAAAAAAAAAAAAAAAGACATTGCACAACAATGCTATTTAGAAATAAGAAAAACTATACAACTGAAAAACCTCAAAGATGTTGGGATAAGCTAAAAATTAACGGAATTCTTGAACTGACAAGCTACAGTCACAGAAATAGGAACTAAGGCTGTTTATGTTTTGAAACTGGAAAAGGACAACAGAGAACTTCCTGGCAGCGATGGCATAAAACGCTCACCCAGGTGAGCAGACACTGAACCTTTGCTACGTGCGAGATGCCGCTCTGCGTTCTAGGGCTTTCTCCTAAAACAAAACTGACAAAAACACAAAAACCGGTCCCGTCCCTAGGTTCACAACCACGGGCCACACCCCGGGGGTACTGCACTTCCAGGCCAGAGTCCAGCAAAACTTCGCCCTACCCAGGCTTACAGTTCTCCGCTAGACACTCTCTGGACATAACGCCGGTACCCGCTTCAGACATTCTGAGTCCGGCTTCCCTCGGCTCCCCAGCCTGCTCCGCTCCGCAGTTCCCTTTTCCCTCTGCGTCCAGAGAGGCTGATGCTTTTCTGGGGGCGGAGTGGGACGTAGGCTGCGGGTTCCCTTCTCTGACAGCCGCCGCCTGGCTTCCGTTTCCCTCTTCTGCCTTTCCCCGCCGGAGTTCCTCGTTGCTTCCTGCATCTGGGGTTTCGGTTACTTCCTCGACTTCTCTTGGTTCCCAGAGGACCATTCCCTGCCTCCCTCCGCGCACCGGAGACCTGCCAGTGTCACCCTTCTCCAGGGGCAAGCGGTCTACGTGCCCGGGACGCCCAGCGGTCTCTGGGGCCTGGCGCGGTCTTTGTGGTCTCGGGGCTGGGCTTGAACTTCGGAATTTTACTATGTTTCCCACAGGCCCCAGGACCATGAATGAACTTTAACCTTTGCTTCCCCTTCCGGTACCGTCCTGTTGACTACGGCCTGGAGCTGTCCAAGTGACTCCAGCCGGGCTTGCGGAAGGAGCTGGCAGTTCGGCGGCCCCCAACTGCCAAAGTGCGGGTGGAGAATGTGCAGCCGGGAACCCCAGTCCCGCGCATGCGTGAACTACGGACGACGGTGATTGTTAGTGCTGTTGTTTGGGACCAAGCAGAGGAGAGTGTTTGTGTATGTGACACGACTCTGCTGTGTGCCTGACTGGTGTCTGTTCCGGCACTTAGGACTGTGACTAGGTTAAGGGCCTAACGTGTGACCCTGGTCTGTAGTGACGTGTGATGTGATGCTGTGAGTGATCGTGTGACAGACTGTAGTGATTGTGACCGAGGTGGAGTGTGTTTATTTTTTTCCCCATTGAACCTGTAGAAGCTTGGTTGTGTTTTGGATAAAGCGTTATTTTTTCCAATTCTGTGGGAATAAGTATGTATATATAAAATTCATTTCTATTCTGTGTCCACGAAGACCTAGATGCCTGTGTTAACCCGAGAGCTGCTCCACTGAAGCGTGATCTGTGTTGTCTTCTTCTGAGCATTTCGTCCCTATTACTTAGCCTAGTACTTAACACAGAGGGGACATTGCTGAAGTGATTGCCCATTGGAGGGCCAATTTGCATGGTTTCTTGGAACCAGTTACCCTGAGTCCTTGTTTTTTTCCATATCCTGTAGTCAGTTAGATCCAGCTGCAGAGAAATGGCCATCAGAAGGAAAGTCATGAATTTTCAACCTTGGAATGAAAGTTCAAGGTAGAAAAGTACATGGTAAATCACAGGAGAATTGCCATTGTCTCCCAGACAGGTTCCTAAAGACATGAGGGGGGAGGGCACAGGTGTAGGATTCCCTCCTGGGAGAACTGTCCTTGGATGCAGCTCGAGGCCATTTACACATTTCAGAATGACAGTATTTCCAGACCTGTGTCCCCTAGAAACTACTGTGAGTTTAGAGTACAGCTCTAAACATTGGTGATAACGTATTTTTATGATAAGGGGAAGAGTGAAGTGTTCTCGTTTCCACCTTGTTTCCATTTGGATGTGTTTGTTGTGTGTGATGGATCTTCTGTGGCAGTTAGGCAGTGGAGGAGTCACAAGTACTTTCTCCTTGGTCATGAAGTTCTGCAAGAGAAGGCCCCTGAAGTGGAAGAGAGCACTGCTGCTACTCAAGGTCAGTTTGTATTTATTTTTTGTTCTAGCAGATACATTTTTGTTTCACAGAACATAGACTATTGGCTTTCTTTTCCTAAATTCCCCTGCCTAATTATGACCTATCCATTTTTCTGGTACCTTGGCCATCCCTTTCCAAGTAACAAGAAGACCATAGAGTTGGGTCCCTTTCTTCCTTAATGTTTTTCCAAATGTCCCTTTTCTTTTCAGTTCCTGTTCACATACCCATTAGAAAAATCATTCAATTCCTCATTTGCTACTTTTCTCCCAGAAGATTCTGATAGTATAGAAATACAACTGTTAGAAGAAATTATAATTTAAAAATTTATTTTAGAATGTGATTTGTTAAAAGATCAGTGGCTAGGTAAGCTAGCATACCAAATACCTTTGATCTTATTCACAGACTTGGTTTCCAAGCAAAGCAAGGTAGGTGATGGTTTGGTTGATTTCAATCAGTAATAAAATTGACTTTAAAGACCTTTAAGAGTAGGACTATGACTGGAATTTTGTACAGATTGTCAACAAGCACAGGGAGTTTTCCAGAGTATCCAAGAGGGGGTTTGAATGGTAACAACCAAATCTTTTCTTGTTTTTTGTTTTTGTTTGTTTGTTTGTTTTTTGAGACAGAATCTCCCTATGTCACCCTCTGGCATCACAGCTCACAGAAACCTCAAATTCTTGGGCTTAAGTGATTCTCTTGCCTCAGCCTCCCAAGTAGCTGGGACTACAGGTGTCTGCCACAAGACCTGGTTATTTTTGTGTTGTTGTTGCAGTTGTCATTGTTAAGCTGGCCTGGGCCAGGCTCAAACCCACCAGCTTAGGTATATGTGGCCAGTGCCCTAACCACTGAGCCACAGGTACTGCCATGATGTTTTAATTATTAAATAATAAAGGAATGAAGCCATGATTTGGTACATATTTTGTACCAAACATGTACTTCACCCACTTTATAGACATTTTCTCATATAGTCTGAAAATGCCACCTACCTGAAATTTAATAATTCAGGTATGAGAAAAGTGAGTGTACTTATTAAATGCCACCTACCTAAATTTTAATTCTGGTATGCAATTACTCCTACCAACATGTAAACATCCTTTGCTGTCTTTCATCAATGGAATAAGTACCCCCACTGTTCACATCCTTTTGCTGTCTTTCATCAATGCCACCTATCAATGTGAACAGTGATTGATGAAAGACAGCAAAAGGATGTTTACATGTTGGTAGGAGTAGTTTATTTCAGTCACAGATTTCCTTGATGTTCTCATGCATTGTGAATGCCTTTTTATTCACGATGTTGTTAAATAAAAGGAAACCATGTCTCCAATTTTGTTTCTAAAAAATCTGCCAACTGAAAGTAACTTTTATATATTTTCGATGATGGGATTAATTTAGGCTTGTTGCCAAATATTTAGTGGTTTAAGGAACCAATTAAGTAGAAAGTCATACTTTATCCACAGTTCTACCAGCCAGCAATAATCACTTAGTAACTTAAGGTACATTGTTCAAAGGTTTCTCACTGGTATTTTTTATTTTGTTTCTTTCAAGAAAAAGCATATGGGCTCGGCGCCTGTGGCGCAAGTGGCTAAGGCACCAGCCACATACACCTAAGGTGGTGGGTTTGAATCCAGCCCAGGCCCACCAAACAACAATGATGGCTGCAATCAAAAAATAGCTGGGCGTTGTGATGGGCACCTGTGGTCCCAGCTACTTGGGAGGCTGAGGCAAGAGACTCGCTTGAGCCCAGGAGTTGGAGGTTGCTGTGAGCTGTGATGCCACGGCACTCTAGCCAGGGGGACAGCTTGAGGCTCTGTCTCAAAAAAAAAAAAAAAAAAAAGGAAAAGTATATGAATTTGCTATAGAAAGAGATAAAATCACTTTTGCCACACTTCTAGTAGCCACATAAAGGAGACAAAGTCACATTTATCACAATTCTAGGTTGCAGGTATAAGAAGAAAATGATCAAAGTATTCATAACAAAATAAAGTGTTCAAAACTTCTGGAATTATATAAACATCAAATAAACAATTATAAGAAGGAAAATTATCAATTAAGACTGCTTTCAGAGTTTTATATAATTTAGAGGTTGTGGTTTCTTTCATAGGATGTAGGAATGGTCTGTGAAATTTAGGTGTTATTCAAAACCCCTTAATATAAATTATATTTGAAAGAACAGAATTATAAAAACAAATAGACTAAAATGATGATATTTATAAATATGTACTTAAGTCTTTGTTTTGGACAGAGGAACAAGGTTGAGAATTTTACTACTATACTCCAAGTTGTCATCTAATTAGGTCAGATTTTGAGCTAGTTTTATGACAGAAAGCTTTGTGTAGAGGGCAAGGAGATATGTTGTCTTTCATTTCTAAGATTCTTTCTGACAAATATAGTTGATGAGGAAGAATTGCAGTCTTTTTTTTTTTTTTTTTGAGACTAAGTCTCACTATGTCACCCTGGGTCATAGCCATGTCATCACTGCTCACAGCAACCTCCAACTCTTTGGGCTTAAGCAATTCTCTTGCCTCAGCCTCCCACGTAGCTGGGACTACAGGTGCCCGCCACAATGCCTGACTATTTCTTTGTTGTAGTTGTCATTGTTGTTTGGTAGGCCCAGGCCTGTTTCGAACCCGCCAGCTCCAGTGTATTGCAGTCAGAAACAGAATTGCAGTCTTAAAACTGGCTCTGAAATGATTAGTTAATATAAGGAAGAAGAACCTTGAGAATCTCAAATTTCACTTTAAGAGAAAGGAGAAGTACAGAGGGAATTTATAAAAAAATAATAAACACAGGACATCAAATATCTACAATTTCATACAATAATAGACAACTTTTATTGCATCATTAAGTGCTTATTACATGCCACTAAAAGTACTTTATGTGTTTTATTTCATTTGATCCAGACAGCAAAACTTTGAAGTCGGGTGGTGCCTGTGGCTCAAAGGGGTAGTGCGCTGGCCCCATATGCTGGAGGTGATGGGTTCAAACCCAGCCCTGGCCAAAAAAAAAAACAACAAACTTTGAAGTCATATTGTTATTCCCATCTCACTAGTCAGAAAATAAAAGCAGTTAAGTACCTTAGTAAAGGTTACATAATTAGTGTCAACCAAAGGTAAGATTCACAAGCCAAATTGTGGATGATATGTTCTTGTGACAGTATACAACTGCCAATCAGTTTTTCTGTTTGTCTCACTGAGTGCCAAAATGTTTCTTCTCAATGTTTAATATAGGTAAATGTCATTATTAAACAGTGCATGGATATTACCAACATTTAGCTCATTGCAATTTATTTAATCTATTCCCTACTCTTAGATATTTAGAATTATCATAAACTGCTCTGTGATGTATGTTTTTGTATCTTTATTTTTCTTTTTTATATTTTATGTTTTTTCTGTGATGTATATTTTTGTAATAGAATTCTGTTTTTAAATCTTTGTTCAGAAAAAAGTTTTAGAAGTTGGATTTATATATGGCTCAGCACCTGTGGCTCAAGCGGCTAAGGCGCCAGCCACATACACCTAAGGTGGCGGGTTTGAATCCAGGCCGGCCCACCAAACAACAATGACGGCTGCAACCAAAAAATAGCCAGGCGCTATGGTGGGCGCCTGTGGTCCCAGCTACTTGGGAGGCGGAGGCAAGAGACTTGCTTGAGCCCAGGAGTTAGAGGTTGCTGTGAGCTATGATGCCACAGCACTCTACCCAGGGGGATAGCTTGAGGCCCTGTCTCAAAAAAAAGAAGCTGGATTTATAGATCAAACATCTGATAGTAAGTGCCAATAATTTGCCATATTTTATTGTAGTTACTAGTGGGGATACCAACATTAAAGAGACATGGTACCTATCCTTTAACTTGCTTATAATTGATCAAATAATATAAAACATATATAGGAATAAACAAGGATTAAATGGTATGATAAAATCCATTTAACCAAATGACCACGTTTGGAGGCCTTTTGCTAGAAGAACTCATAGAACATGGAAAAGTGACTCAGCGCCTGTGGCTCAAGTGGCTAAGGTCCCAGCCACATACACCTAACGTGGCAGGTTCAAATCCAGCCCAGGCCCTCCAAACAACAATGATGGCTGCAACCAAAAAAAAAAAAAAAATAGCCAGGTGTTGTGGCGGGTGCCTGTGATCCCAGCTACTTGGGAGGTGGAGGCAGGAGACTTACTTGAGCCCAGGAGTTGGAGGTTGCTGTGAGCTGTGATGCCACGGCACTCTACCCAGGGGGACAGCTTGAGGCTCTGTCTCAAAAAAAAACATGGAAAAGCTATTATATTTTACACATAATAGTGAAAGGATACACTTTAAAACTAGCAAAGGAAAAGTCATATAGGGTGGACTCCCAGAGAAACCAGGCGCAGGCTTTCAGTGGAGTTGCATAGAATAGCACTTAATTCTCCCTGCAACAATGTATGACTACACATGACATGTTGCAACCAGGGAAACTCCCTTGAGCCTTGGTGTCCAGGCTTTTACTGAGGGTCAGTCATGGAGATTGGAGCTGCTGTGTTACTTCCTTAGCTACATAGTCAAGTCTATCCAGAGGTCCTATTTTGGCCCAGGACCCTACACAAACAAAAATAGGTATTTACCACAAATCACATTGTTAACATAAACTACGTGGCATAGGCCCAAACACCAGACATACAAAGACTATTATAAAACAGGGCCTAGAACTTAGCTCCTAGCTGTTTCTTTCTTTGGAATATGCAGTTTGAGCACTCTGAGCTCACTGGGTTAATTCTTTACTGTATATATGAGATCTCCATTGAGGTGAATGTACTTATTTTTTAAGCTTAATATTTTCTGGTAAGTTAAAGATTATTTCTAATTTTCCAGTGAATTACCCATGCTTAGTTTTCATTCCATAATGAAGAAATTCTGAGCTACAGAACAAGAGTTAAAGAGAATTGGTTTTGTAAGGAGGAATATGGATTCAAACCTCAGGTGTACTATCTACCTTTTTGTGTGTTTTTCATTTTTTCCAATTGAAGTATCACATAAACCACACAAACTACATTTTAAGTGGGATGGTTTTTAAACATATGCATATTGTTGTGACTCACACAGCTGAGAAAGAGACTCGGACCCCACTTGATGCAATAATTAAGTAGAATTTTATTACACCTACGCAGGGGGCTGTTGCTATGAAAAGCAAGCAGCCCTGAATTATTTTCTGCATAACTCAGCAAGCAAGCATAAACAGAAGCCAAACATTGCAGTTAGCTCAGGGTGGGGGGTTACATTAGATCAGGGGTCACATTGTGGGGTTACATAGTTCAGGATGGAGGTACCCATGTTGAGAAAGTTTCCAAGAACTTGGGACTTTCCACCAGGGGCTTTTTGGGGAATCTACCCCTCCCTGCATTACTTTCTTATCTTCAAGCCTCTTCTCGGAATTTATCCTTGCCACCCTTGGAGGGGCTGGGACTAAAGGACTCAAGAAAAGTTTCTTTTTCAAGGTTAGGGGGCTCAGTTATCACAATATATATGTATATAGGTAAATATATATACACAACACACCCCATGTACCACCACCATCCAGCTCAAGATATAGCATATTTTCTGCCGGGTGCAGTGGCTCATACCTGTAATCCTAGCACTCTAGGATGCTGAGTCGGGTGGATTGCTTGAGCTCATGAGTTCAAGACCAGCCTGAGGAAAAGCGAGACCCCATTTCTACTAAAAATAGAAAAACTGAGGCAAGAGGATTGCTTGACCCTGAGTTGGAGGTTGCTGTGAGCTATGATGGCAACAGCACTCTACCGAGGGGGACAGCTTGAGACTCTGTCTCAGAAAAAAAAAAGATATAGCATATTTTCAACACTCTAGCCTCACCTTAAACTCCTCTTAAACACCTAGTATTAAGATAAGAGGTTAGTTTTAGCTAGCTTTGAAGTTTTAAAGTTCAATATAAATGGAATCTTATATACAATTTTATCTGGCTTCTTTTTCAAACTTGACCTAAGCCAAAAGACCAAGAAGCAATGACTTCTTTTTCTCACCTTCTTGTTTAGAAGAACCATCTGTTGTTTGTTCATTTTTATTATTAAGTAATGTGTTATAGGAATATAATTTATTGTTTTTTTTACTGATCCTATTTTTTTTTAAGAGATAGAGTCTCATTCTGTGGCCCTTGGCGTCACAGCTCACAGCAACCTCCAACCCCTGGGCTTAGGTGATTCTCTTGCCTCAGCCCCCTGAGTAGCTGGGACTACAGGCACCTGCCACAACGCCTGGCTATTTTTTGTTGCAGTTTGGCTGGGGCCGGCTTCTAACCTGCCACCCTTGGTATATAGGGGCCAGCACCCTACTCACTGAGCCACAGGTGCCACCCTTTACTGATCCTATTGATGAGCATTTGAATCATTAATAGTTTCAAGCCAGCATGAGAAAATGCAATTAAAAACCTTCTTTTACATATTTCTTGATAGACAGATGCTCTCATTTCTTTTGGAAATATACCCCAAAATAGAATTACTGTTATTACTTAGTAGATCCTTGTCTGGGCATGGTGGCTCACACCTATAATCCTAGCACTCTAGGCAGGTGGATCCCTTGAGCTCAGGAGTTTGAGACCGGCCTAAGCAAAAGTAAGACTCTATCTCTACTAAAAAAATAGTAAAAGCTAGCCGGATGTTGTGGCAGGCACTTGTAGTCCCAGCTACTTGGGAGGCTGAGGCAAAAGGATCACTTCAGCCCGAGTTTACAGTTGCTATGAGCTATGATGCCACAGTACCCTAGCCCAGGGCAACAAAGTGAGACTATCTCAAAAAAAAAAAAAAAAAGAAAAGAAAAAAGACTGTATTTCATGTGAGGGGGCTACATAGAAGGGAATCCCCATTCTCTAGCTGTGTTCTGAGTAGGTGGGACAGAGTGAAAAATGATGATGTCCTACTCCATCTGGAAGGACAGCCATTTGACTGGGAACAAAGGTTAAGGAATAGTGAGGAAGCCCTGTGTGCTTGGCTTCATCAGTCTGAGGTAGAGTCTTTATCTCATGAGATGGGATGGACAAGGGAGGATACACGTTTACTTCATATAATGTTGACTCCCACAGTTCTTAACAAGTTTTTGTAATTTTTATTTATTTTTTACTTTTTGCACAAATGGTTAACATTTCTAGGGCCATTTCCAGAGACTAAGTGTTTGAGGGTTTTTTGTTTGGTTGTTTTTTTGTTTGTTTGTTTGTTTGTTTGTTTTTTTGAGACAGAGCCTCAAGCTGTCCCCCTGGGCAGAGTGCCGTGGCATTACAGCTCACAGCAACCTCCAACTCCTGGGCTCAAGCGAGTCTCCTGCCTCCGCCTCCCAAGTAGCTGGGACCACAGGCGCCCGCCACAACGCCCGGCTATTTTTTTGGTTGCAGCCGTCATTGTTGTTTGGCGGGTCTGGGCTGGGGATTCGAACCCGCCACCTTAGGTGTACGTGGCTGGCGCCTTAGCCGGTTGAGCTATAGGCGCCGAGCCTGTTTGTTTGTTTTTGAGACAGGGTCTCAAGCTATTGCCCTTGGTAGAGTGCTGTGGCATCATGGGTCACAACAACCTCAAACTCTTGGGCTTAAGCGATTCTCTTGCGTCAACCTCCCAAGTAGCTGGAACTACAGGCGCCCACCACAAGTCCTGGTTATTTTGTTGTTGTTGCTGTTGTTGCAGTTGTTGTTTTAGCTGGCCCAGGCCGGTTCGAACTCCCCAGCCTTGGTGTATGTGGCCAGCACCCTACCCACTGAGCTACAGGCATTGCCCTTTATTTCTGTTGTTAATAATTTTTTTTACCAGGTTCATTAAGGAACAAATCCATGGAACTCCTCATGTTGTCATGTCAGAAGTGGAATTCCCTGAGCAGTTTTTCGCAGTTCTAACCATGGATCATGTAAGTTGCTATTTTTCTCTTCTTCATGAATATTTCCTTTCTTTGATTACTTCTACCAAACCCCTGTATTGAAGAACCTACTCCACATCCCGATACTTTTTCACTTTATAGTAAGGGCTGCAGTCAAATAGCCTGGTGTCCCTCCTGTGTGTCTGTTCTATAATATAATAATGTTCCACATTCCTATGTATTTAGTCTTTTTTTTTTTTTTGAGACAGAGCCTCAAGCTATTGTCCTGGATAGAGTGCCATGGTGTCACAGCTCATAGAAACCTCCAACTCCTGGGCTTAAGCAATTCTCTTGCCTCAGCTCCGGAGTAGCTGGGACTACAGGCGCCTGAGACAATGCCTGGCTATTTTTGATTGTTATTGTCATTGTTTGGCAGGCCCAGGCCAAATTTAAATCCACCAGCTCTGGTGTATGTGGCTGGTGCCTTAGCTGCTTGAGCTACAGGCGCTGAGCCTGTATTTAGTCTTTTACCAAGAACAGAAACAGAGTAGAAATAGACTTTATTCTTGAATAGGGAAAAAGTCATATTCTTGAATAGGGAAAAAAAGCAAATGACTCTGTTTGATAACATGTGGGCAAACTCTGAACTCCACAGACATGAGTTTCCATGTAGATTTAATTTGATGTTGACTGGCCTCAAGTTATACAAAATGGTGATGATTGTAGGCTCCCAGATTTGGAAAAAAGGTTGTCTAACCTGAGCATCTAAGTATAATTAAGACCACTATGTGTTCAACAAGACTACTCTGTAGCCGCTAAACAGCACTTACTGGCCAGGCGCAGTGACTCATGCCTGTAATCCTAGCACTCTGGGAGGCTGAGGCAGGTGGATTGCTTGAGCTGATGATTTTGAGATCAGCCTAAGCAAAAGCGAGATTCCCATCTCAACTAAAAATAGAAAATCTGAGGCAAGAGGATTGCTTGAGCCCAAGAGCTTGAGGTTAGTGTGAGCTATGATGCCATGGTACTCTACCCAGGATGACAGCTTGAGACTCTGTCTTAAAAATAAATAAATAAACAAGCAAACAGCACTTACTGAATAATTTGTCCTTAGAAGTTAGTGTGAAATGATACATAACATAGTGATAAACTTAGAGCTACAAGAAATTTTTAATTTTGTTCATATCTCATTTTCTAAGTTAGATATTCTTTGTTTTAACTTGTAAACTGATCATTACTTTCCAGATAAGTTTGGTTAATTAAGAAATCCCATAGTAGGGTTGGACACGGTGGCTCACGCCTGTAATCCGAGCACTCTGGGAGTCCAAGGTCAGTGTATTGCCTGAACTCACAGGTTTGAGACCAGCCTGAGCCAGAGTGACACCTCGTCTCTAAAAATAGCCGGTGTTGTGGCACCCAAGGTTCCACATACTTGGGAGGCTGAGGCAAGAGAATTGCTTCAACCCAACAGTTTGAGGTTGCTGTGAGCTGTAATGCCATGGCACTCTACTGAAGGCAACAGTGAGACTCTGTCTCAATAAAAAAAAAAAAAAGAAATCCCATAGTATGCAAGATTTCTCTGAGTCAAATGGATTCTTTTTTTTTTTTTTTTTTTTAGACAGAGCCTCAAGCTATCCCCCTGGGTAGAGTGCCATGGCATCACAGCTCACAGCAACCTCCAATTCATGGGCTCAAGCGAGTCTCCTGCCTCAGCCTCCCAAGTAGCTGGGACTACAGGCACCCGCCACAACGCCCGGCCATTTTTTTGGTTGCAGCCATCATTGTTGTTTGGTGGACCCGGGCTGGGGATTCGAACCCGCCACCTTAGGTGTATGTGGCTGGCGCCTTAGCCGCTTGAGCCACAGGCACCGAGCCCAAATGGATTCTTTTGAGAAGCACAAGTAGTCTGGTTGGGAAACACAAATTTCCTTACTTCCCATGTTATAGCCTACTTGTTTAATATCTAGCCTCTTTCCTATAATGCAACTCTTTATTTCTTGTCTTCCTCAAGAATATTTCTTTCAATTTCACTTATATATGGGTTTGTTGTTTCAGGAATTGGTGACATTCAGGGATGTGGTCATCAGCTTCTCTCAGGAGGAGTGGGAATATCTGGATTCTGATCAGAGGGACTTGTACTGGGATGTGATGATGGAGAACTACAGCAATTTGGTCTCACTGGGTAAATTTATCTGCCTCAAATAACTTAAAATATATTCTCTAGAATATCAGCTGATATCCAGTGAACTCAAGGCTCTCTTTTAAGAAACAAAGTAAATTTCTTTTTTTCTTTTCTTTTCTTTTTTTTTTTAGAGACAGAGTCTCACTTTATTGGCCTCAGTAGAATACCATGGCGTCACAGCTTACAGCAATCTCCTACTCCTGGGCTTAGGTAATTCTCTTGCCTCAGCCTCCTGAGTAGCTGGGACTACAGGCACCCGCTACAATGTCTGGCTATTTTTTTGGTTGCAGTTCTGCTGGAGCAAGGTTTGAACCCACTACCCTGGGTATGTGGGGCCACCACCCTACCAACTGAGCCACAGGAGCCACCTGTAAATTTCTTTTCTTTCCAAAGGCATGCTTTTAATGTTGTTGGTTTGCAGATGACACTGACATTAAATATGTTCAGCATTCTTAATGATGTTCTTTTTTTTTTTTGAGACAGAGTCTCACTTTGTCACTCTCAGTAGAGTGCTGTGGTGTCACAGCTCACAGCAATCTCAAACTCTTGGGCTTAAGTGATTCTCTTGCCTCAGCCTCCCAAGTAGCTATGACTACAGACATCTTTCACAAGATGGCTATTTTTTAGAGTTGGACTTTTGCTTTTGCTCTGGTTGGTCTCAAACTTGTGAGCTCAGGCAATTCACCCACCTTCGCCTCCCAAGTGCTGGGATTACAGGCGTGAGCCACGGTGCCTGGCCTCTAATGATGTTCTTATCTTCTCAGGCCCCTCATGTCATTTCTACCTTCCTTGATACCAGGGGAGCTGGCTTTGACTTGTATGATATATACAGCCTATCACTGAGGTATTATAGTTTGAGTATCTCTTATCTGAAATGCTTGGACCAGAATTTTTTATTTTTTATTTTTTTAAGAGACAGAGTCTCACTTTATCACCCTTGGTAGAGTGCTGTGGCATCACAGCTCATAGCAACCTCCAGGTCTTGGGCTTAGGTGATTCTCTTGCCTCCCAAGTAGCTGGGACTATAGGCACCCGCCACAACACCTGGCTATTTTTTGTTGCAGTTTGGCCACGGCCGGGTTTGAACCTACCACCCTTGGTATATGGGGCTGGCGCCCTACTCACTGAGCCATAGGCACCGCCCCAGAATGTTTTAGATTTCAGATTTTCTCCAGTGTATGTACATATATATAATACAATATCTTGGGAAGGGTACCCCAGTCTAAATACAGACTTCATTTATGTTTAATATATACTATATACATAGATCCTAAAGGTAATTTTATACAATATTACATTATTTAAATAATTTTGTTCATGAATCAAAGTTTATGCTGTATACTTACGTGCAATTTTCCACTTACAGCATTATGTTGGCACTCAAAAAGTTTTGGATTTTGGAGCATTTCAGATTTTGGATTTTTCAGATTAGGAATGCCCCAACTTGTATATTGTATTTGAGTTGAGAATTGCAATAGATGCTTTACTTTCTTATCCACCTTTTTAAGATGGGAAGAGCTAAGATATTGTGTCTAGATTTGTTGTCATTATTAAAAGAATCTCTACACAGGCTTGGTGCCTGTAGCTCAAGCAGCTAAGGTGCCAGCCACATACACCAGAGCTGGCGGGTTCGAATTCAGCCTGGGCCTGCCAAACAGCAATGACAACTACAACCAAAAAATAGCCAGGCATTGTGGCGGGCACCTGTAATCCCAGCTACTTGGGAGGCTAAGGCAAGAGAATTGCTTGAGCTTAGGAGTTGGAGGTTGCTGTGAGCTGTGATGCTATGGCACTCTACCCAGGGCGACAGCTTGAGACTCTGTCTCAAAAAAATAAAAATAAAAATACAAAAAGAATTTCTACATTTTTATATGTTGCTATATTGATAAACAATTCATATTCTTTTCCTCCCACAAATATTACACCTGCTTTATAGTTAAAGAACTTTGCATTTAACATGTCTCAGAAAGCCAGAGAGTTTCCTGTCAACTTCCATAGTTCTTGCATTGTACTTTGCCCTGTCCTAAGTACTTTAAGTAATTGACTGATTTTACCCTTACCATAACTCTTTGATATAACACTATTTGCATTATTATTTTACTGAAGGCATTGCTTACAACAAAGAGTGTTTAAGTACTTCTTCCAGGGTACACAGCCATTTAATATCAGGCAGGTTTTCTGCAGGGTAAGTCTGGCACAAAAGATAGTGTTCTTAAATGTTACACTGTATTGCATATCAAGACAAAGAATGTCATGGATTTAAATAACAAGACCTTTGTTACTTTAAAGAAGAGTTTTTATTAATTCTCTCACATTTCTCTTTTCTGAAGCCTTTATCAATATCATCTTTATGTTTTAACTTTAACCAGTTCTTAAAATGATATTTTAAAAATTGGTTATAATTATCATTATTTTTGATTACATTACATTTCTTTGTTGTAAGCAGGGTTTTCTCTTTCTAATCCAGTTGTGATCATCTTACTGAGGAAGGGAAGTTGCTCTAAGCGTTTTGAGGGATATGACAAGAAAACAAGACCGAGTGAGGGAGGGCTGACGAAGCATGGAAAACAACCAGTAGAACACAAAGCCCAGATGGTCTAGGAGATGAGCCCCTGTGATGTTCTTAGGAAAATACCTTCAAAGGCCTGTGATAAAAAAGCCTGACACATGGAGAAGCAAATTAAGATGTTTTTTTCTCTTGGGCTCAAACAATCTTCTTTTTTTTTTTTTTTTTTTTGAGACGGAGCCTCAAGCTATCCCCCCCTGGGTAGAGTGCTATGGCATCACGCTCACAGCAACCTCCAACTCCTGGGCTCAAGCGAGTCTCCTGCCTCAGCCTCCCAAGTAGCTGGGACTACAGGCGCCCGCCACAACGCCCGGCCATTTTTTGGTTGCAGCCATCATTGTTGTTTTGGTGAGCCGGACTGGGGATTCGAACCCACCACCTTAGGTGTATGTGGCTGGTGCCTTAGCCACTTGAGCCACAGGCGCCAAGCCCAAACAATCTTCTTGCCTCAGTTTTTCTATTTTTAGTAGAGATGGTGTTTTGGTTTTGGTCAGGCTGGTCTTGAACTCATGAGCTCAAGCAATCCACCCACCTCGGCCTCCCAGAATAGTAGAATTACAGGTGTGAGCCACTGCACCTGACCTGCAAATTAAGATCTTCCTTAATGCCATGCCTGTAATCCTAGCACTTGGATGGCCAAGGTGGGTGGATTGCCTGAGCTCAGAGGTTCGAGACCAGCCTGAGCCAGAGTGAGACCTCTTCTGTAAAAATAGCTGGGCATTGTGACAGACACATGTAGTCTCAAGTACTTGGGAGGCTGAGGCAAGAGAACCACTTAAAGCCCAGGAGTTTGAGGTTGCTGTGAGCTATAACAGCACATCCCTCTACAGAGGGCAACAAAGTGAGACTGTGTCTCAAAAAAAAAAAAAACCCCAAACAACGAAAGATCTTCCCCAGTGCAAGGCCAGGTACAGTGGTTCACACCTATAGTCCTAGCACTCTGGAAGGCAGAAGGGGGTAGATTGCCTGAACTCAGTAGTTTGAGACCAGCCTGAGGAAGAGTGAGACCCCATCTTTAAAAATAGCCTCATGTTTTGGTGGGCCCCTGTAGTCCCAGCAACTTGGGAGGCTGAGGCAAGAGAATTGTTTAAGCCAGGAATTTGAGGTTGCTATGAGCTATGACACCACACAGCACTCTACTGAGACTGACAAAGTGAGACTGTGTCTCAAAAAAAGAAAGAAAGAAAAGAAAGAAATCCTTATCTGAATCATTGTGTTTCATTTTGTCATTCTTCTTACATTTATTAGTTGCCTTTTTGCTCTTTAGTAAACTTGAAAGGTAATTCTATTAGAAAAGACAGGAAGACCATTTATGTCTTTTATATTGTTTTATCTAATTAGCCACTTATTTGGAGCACTTGAAGTTTTCTGACCTTCTTGTTTAAATCTATTTATGGATGTATTAATTTTCATTAGTTCAGTTATGCTTAAAAATGAGGCTACTGGTTTTTTTATTTTATATCTCAGGTTTATGAATATTAGATGATTACATTGATTTCTGTGTACCTTTAAATTGATTCTTTAATCTTTGAGTTTGTTACATGCTTTCCCAAGGCGCCTTCCCTTCCCTCCCTACCCCAGACCTGACACTTGAATTGGATACAAGTGCATGTTTCTGGTTTTGTGTCTTGTTTTCTTTAGCATTTTTATAGTACAAAAACTTTTTCCCCCTCTTTTGACTCCTCTATTGTCAACATGGTGACTTGTCTTTGCCTCAAGTGCTTTCTGTGTCCTTTTTGACATGACCCACCTATATTATAGAACATTTTTGCTTTCTAGAAAAGCATTCCAGGGCACATCTTGTACCTTGCCTGCTCCAGATCATGATTCAGACCTGTGTTCTAGTATCCGTCATTTGTATTCTTTGTTCTTTTCTTTTCTTTTCTTTTCTTTTCTTTTCTTTTCTTTTCTTTTCTTTTTTTTTTTTTTGAGACAGAGTCTCACTATATCACCCTTAGTCGAGTGCTATGGCATCACAGCTCACAGCAATCTCAAACTCTTGGGCTTAAGCGACTCAATTGCCTCAGCCTCCTAAGTAGCTGGGACTACAGGTACTCACCACAACGCCTGGCTATTTTTTTGTTGTAGTTGTCGTTCTTGTTTGGCAGGCCCAGGCCAGGTTCTAACCTGACAGCCCTGGTGTTTGTGGCCGGTGCCCTAGCTACTGAGGCACCAAGCCTGTCATTTGTATGCTTCAACAACCTGTGCAACAGCCATGATTATATATATTTTTGTTTCATATGAAGCATTTGAAAATTTTATCCCTTTCTAGGAAATTGATGTTTTTCAACTTTTATGGATTTAAGGGTTACTCTTGAATTATTTACCTAGAAATATTATTAGTCTACATTTTCAACTTTATTAGCATAGGAGTCTTGTAACATTTTTAAAAAATACCTCCCTCCCCCTTTTTTTTGAGATATGGTATCACTTTGTTGCTTTCGGTAGAGAGCCATGGCATCATAGCTCATAGCAACCTCAGACTCTTGGGCTCAAGCGATCATCTGGCCTCAGCCTCCTGAGTGGCTGGGACTATAGGTGCCCATCACAACACCTGGCTAGTTTTTCTATTTTTAGTAGAGACAGGGTCTTGCTCTTGCTCAGGCTGGTCTCAAACTCCTGGGCTCAGGCAATCCACCCACCTTGGCCTCCCAGAGTGCTAGGATTACGGCCATGAGCCACCACACTGTCAAAAATACCCTTTCTGATAATTCCTTTCCTTTTGTCATTTTTTATGTTTTCATCACCTGATTCTGTTTATTTTTTCCCACATCTTTTCTTCAGGTTACTTTGTTCTTTTCTATTTTCATGAATGGGACATATACATTGGTCATTTTCATTCTTCCATTTACAAAAATACAAGCATTTAAATCTTTACTTTTTATAAGTATGGTTGAGTTCCATACATTTTAATTAGAAAAGTTTTCAAATGATGGTTCTCTGGTAAATTTTCAATTTCAATTACATTTTCACATTGACTTAACAGAGAGCTGCTTTATTTCTAAATGAAAGTGGTTTTTTTTCTTTTTGAGACAGAGCCTTAAGCTATTGCCCTAGGTACAGTGCCTAGGCATCACAACTCCCAGCAACCTCAAACTCTTGGGGTTAAGCGATTCTCTTGCCTTAGCCTCCCAAGTAGCTGGCACTACAGGCGTCCACCACAATGCCCAGCTAGTGTTGTTGTTATTGTTATTGTTGTCATTGTTGTTTAATTGGCCCAGGCTGGGTTCGAACCAACCAGCCTCGGTGTATGTAGCTGGCACCCTACCCACTGAGCTATGGGCACTGCCTAAATGGAAGTGTTTTTGATTTACTGATACTGGCACTTAAATCTGGTTTTAATGTTTTAGTCAAATTATGGTGCCTGTGTTATTTCATTAGAAATCTTATCTGATCATCACTGTTGTAATTCAGCATTCTTTTTATATTTATTAGTAGCCATTATGCTCTTTAGTGAATTTGAAATGTATTATAATTCTATTAGGAAAGGCAGGCAGACTGTTTATATCTTTGTTATGAGTAACATAATTTAGTCACAGCATATTATTCTTGCTCGTTATCGTGCAATGTTTATTGGTCACTTTGAATTTTCCTCATTGGCAACCTTCAGACAATGTGGAAAAAGTATTTTGTTATTAAGTGCCTTACAATTTTGGCCATGCACACCATGTTCTCTATATCATTCTGTTAATATATTCTTTTTACCCACAAGCTTTTGCTCAGAATAGCATAAGTCTAACAATATCATATATGTTAACTTTAATATCTTAAATATTATATAGTTTTGAGAAGTATACACATAACATTCATTCAATTTGGGTATAAGAAAATGGAAAAGCTGAGATTTCAGGACAAATGAGTATAGTAAAATGATACTGAAGAAAAGTAAATAACACATCTCATCTTCATTGCTTTTCTTTATCCCACATGACAATCAGGGATCTCCATGTGAAGGAATAAGCAGTAGTGGTAGAGACTGTGTGCAAATGTGGAACAACTAGAAAACATTTACTTATAAACACTATATGTATGTATCTTACTACATCATACATATAAATATAAAGTTTTACGTAAAACTGTTTTAAATTGCACACGAACTTTATGTCCACCATATATATATATATATACAGATATGTAAAATCATTGTAATACAGTGTGAAAGTTGGGAGACATTGATAGCTATTGCATTATTCTTGCATTTACATAATTATTCTGACAGTCTATTGTTTTTTAATAATTTATCTTTGTATTATATACCTACTCCCTTTTAAAATTTTTTGAAACAGGGTCTTTGTAGCATCATCATAGCTCACTGTAACCTCAAACTCCTAGGCTCAAGTGACCATTCTGCCTAACCATCCCAAGTAGCTGGGACTACAGTACACACCTGGCACATTTTTCTATTTTTTGTGGAGACAGGATCTTGCTCTTATTCAGAGTTGTCTCAGATTCTTAGCCTCAGTGATTCTCCTGCCTTGGCCTCCCAAAGCCCATGAGCCACCACGCCCAACTGTATATATACTTTTATTTAGAATCCTTCTAACCATTGATTTACTTTTCCTGTAATTAATTGCTATATACAATTTCCTTGGGGCTTATTATTCCTTGGTCTAATAAAATTTATTGTATTTGACCTTGTGGAGCTTAAAGAATAAATGGTATAAGAGAAAATTACTCAGTACCCAACTTAAAAAATGGACATGGGGATAAAGAACTAGATATTGGATTAGGGACATACATGAACTTACTTAGGGTCAACTAACAACACCCTTTCTCAGAGTAATTAATTTTTAGAAGGGAACAGTGAAAAGGAGCTGGCATACAAAGAGCCCTTTTGTGAGAGATGGAACATCCTGTATGTAGCTCTAAATGCTGGGAAATGTATTTTGATCTAGGAGGTGAATAAAGATTAGTATAAAGAGGACAATAGATTAAAATGAGGTCTTACAATCAGTATGTTGTTATCCGTGATAAATTGTCTGGATTTTATTAGAGGGAGAAAATTCACAAAATTGCCAATATATATGGGATTATTAATTGACATTAATTATTTTGACATTAGCATTACCTCTACCAGATACCAGTAACCAGTTTTATGTCTATAAATTTTGACTCTTATCTTTATGGGTTCCGTTAATACTTAATCAACAAGCTTACCAAGTGGCAACACTAAATTTCAGATCCACTAACTTAGTCTGTTTCCCTTATCACAAAACTCACATTCTTACATTATGCTCTTATTTTCTCAGTTCACTTTTACCATTTTCTTAGCTCTTTATCTTTCTCCAAATTTCATAATAGTATTTTAATCACTTCACTCACCGTGAATGATTTTCAGTTTGTCTTCTTTGCTTTCTATAACTTTCCTTTTCAAGACACATGAAAAAAATTCTTTTTCTTTCTTTTAGATTTGGAGTCGAGGAATGAGACAAAGAGTTTATCTGGAGGAAAGGACGTCATTAAAAACCATGATTGTCGGTGTGAGATAATGGAAAGTAGCAAATTATTCAGCCTTAAAAGTTCCATTTTCAGAAATAACTGGCAAAGCAAAAGCAAAATTGCAATAGAAGGACCTCAAGTGAGATATTTCAGTCAAATAAAAATCATTTCTGAAGATGTGCCCAATTTCAAAAATGATGAAGCTCTTAAATTACCTCAGGTAACTCATGACAGTGAGAAGCCCTGTGATTATAAGGAATTTGAGAAAGTCTTCATTTGTGATTCAAATGTTGATGAACATCAGAGACTACATGCTAGTGAGAAAACTTATGAATGTAATGAATGTTGGAAAACCTTTGGGATAGATAATTCCCATACACTACAACTGAATATTCATACTGGTGTGAAACCTTGTAAATATATAGAATATGGGAATACATTTACTTTTTATAAAGACCTTGGTATACCCCAGAAAATTCATGATGAGAAGTTTTATAAATGTAAGGAATACAGAAGGACCTTTGGAATAATTGGAGATGTTACTCCACTTCAAAGAAATGGTGGTGAGAAACCCTTTGAATGCACATTCTGTGGGAAGTCCTTTAGAGTACATGCACAACTTACTCGGCATCAGAAAATCCATACTGATGAGAAATCTTACAAATGTATGGAATGTGGCAAGGACTTTAGATTTCATTCACAGCTCACTGAACATCTGAGAATACATACTGGTGAGAAACCCTACAAATGTATACACTGTGAGAAGGTTTTTCGAATTAATTCACAGCTCATTGAACATCAGAGAATTCATACAGGGGAGAAACCTTATGCATGTAAGGAATGTGGGAAGGCTTTTGGAGTCTGTAGAGAACTTGCTCGACATCAGAGAATTCACACTGGTAAGAAACCCTATGAATGCAAGGCATGTGGAAAGGTCTTTAGAAATAGTTCATCCTTGACTAGACATCAAAGAATTCATACTGGTGAGAAACCTTATAAATGCAAAGAATGTGAGAAAGCATTTGGAGTAGGCAGTGAACTTACTAGACATCAGAGAATTCACAGTGGTCAAAAACCTTATGAATGTAAGGAATGTGGGAAATTCTTTAGACTAACTTCAGCCCTTATTCAACATCAGAGAATTCATAGTGGTGAGAAACCCTATGAATGTAAGGTATGTGGAAAGGCCTTTAGACACAGTTCAGCCCTTACTGAACATCAGAGAATTCATACGGGAGAAAAACCTTATGAATGCAAGACATGCGGCAAGGCCTTTAGACATAGTTCATCCTTTACAAAACATCAGAGAACACATAATGGTGAGAAACCCTATGAATGTAAGGAATGTAGGAATGCCTTACATGTGGGTGGGCACCTTACTTGACATAAAAATATTTATACTGGTGAGAGAAAAGTTATTTGAAAGTAGTAAGTGTATAAAGGGTTTTTGTTTCTTGTTTCACTGGGAAGCAAAAATTAGAATTGATATTCTAATTCTTTCCTTTTTATTTATCTTGCACTTATTTTAAGAGTTAGAATTCCCATCAGATGCAGGATTTTTAGTCTTAAGGTTCTGCATTGTGTTTGTGTAGTTTCCTTGTTTTGTTTTCTATTGTTTTTGTTTTAGTGATAGATGTATAATTTCCTTTCTATTGTCATCCAGTGATTACATCTCTCTAAATTTCTAATTCATTGGATACAACAGAGTCTGCTAAATATTTACCATCACCAATTCCTCGAAGGAGCCCTTTTCACCTCCAGGCGGTACCAGCCAGAATCCAAATGAAGGGAACACTTTCGTTACTAAGTTAATTGGTCAAAGTACCTTTAAAAAGAGAGAAGTGACAACTATTGCAGTGATTATAAACTAGTCATTAAGCTTAGAGTAAGAAGATTTATAACTATAAATGGCCTCAATTGTTTTTTATTGTATTATGATTATAATATTTCTTTGCACCCTCTCAGATTTGCCTTACTAGGTTTGGGCAGTCCAACCAACAATTGGTATACCTTTTTTTATTTTAGTAACCTCAACAAACTTTAAAATTACCTCTTTCTTAGGACAGCTGACCTAGTATGTGATCAATGAGATCATAAGGCACTGGTTATTATATTTTTATAAGAAAATTTATATTTAGATAAATTTATATTACCATTATTCTTTAGATTTTAATTTTTGAAATTTGTGACTTTTCCAGAATTTATATACTTGTCTAAGTGTTACCTGACCATTGGCATTAAGTCATGTCCTCATTTGACATATTGAGCTATATTTTCTGTATTACTTATTTTATTTAAGTAGTTCTTAAAGGTATATAAATGGTAGCTATTTTATGTCCTACACTATAAGAGCATAAGTCTCTGTTGTTAACATTTTATTAGGGTGATTGCTATCTCATATCTTTGAAATAGAGTACTGAGCTCTATATCTGAGTATACTCTATTTGCTAAGCTATTATATGGCCACTTTTGCTGATTACACTCTATCTTGTTATTCTGAGTTACTATCAGTGCTAATTAATGTTACTCTTCTTGGGTGTAGTACCCCAGGAGTACTTGTTCTACATTTTTTTCTTTCCAGCTAAAACAAATTAAAACTATGAAATGTCTAAGCCTTATATACAGGCATAAAATTAATGACAGAAACAAAATAGTATTATGTCTTGGCACTTAATTTTTAAAAGTCAGTAATGAATAAAAGATAAATTAACAAGCAAAGAATATTCTTATGTTTCCATTATTTGTAGTAACAGCTACATTTTGGTTATATTTTCTGTTCAGCTTTGTTATGAACTTGTGCCATTTTATGGTTACTCCAATAAACCTTAATATTGTTGGTTGTTGGTGGCATTCATTATTGTTCCTGTTTTCACTACTGTTCGGTGCTCAAAAGTATAAAACTTAGCTATTCCATTTTCACTTGTCCTCTTCTCCCTTCTGAATTTTACCTAGCCTGCATAGAAGCTTGTTTTACCAAATTCAAGATGTTCCAGTCTTATCCTTTTTTTGTCACCCTAAAACAGCTTGCAGTGAAGGAATTCTGGTTCTATTTAATGGCGAATAGTGTTAAAAACTAATGTATGCATGTGGAGATTCTGTGATTGAGATTGCTTAAATTATCTCCCTGCCCCCTAGAATTCATACTTTAACTTGTAACGTGATTGTATTTAGAAATAGGGCAATAAGGACATAAGATGTGGTTCTCATCTGATAGGAATAGTGATCTTATGAGAAGAGAAAGGCGAGATGGATGGATTTTTTCCCATGGTCATACTCTTAAGACCATATGAGGACACAAAGCGAAGGCAGTTATCTACAAGCCAGGAACAGAGCCCTCACCAAGAACTAAATCTGTCACCCCCAACTGTGGATTTTACAGCCTGCACAATTGTGAGAACATAAATATCTGTTACTTAAGTCACACAGTTCAAGGTTTTTTTTTTTTTACAGTGACCTGAACAGACTGAGACAGTTTTTCACCCTGAGAACTAGGATGCTACTATAAAAAATATCTAAAAATATGGAAATCCAAACTTTGGAACTGAACAATGGGCAGAGAAGTTGGAAGAAGTCTGAAGTGGATCCTGGCAATATAGATATTAAAGGTGATTCTTGCAAGGGCTCAGAAAAGAAGATAGGATGGATGGAAAATAGGATGGCTAGAAAGAAAAATACTTCTTAAATAAATGTGAACAGAATATTGGCAGAAATGTGGATGTATAAGACTGTAATACTATGATCTCAGAAATGAACACTTTATTGTAAACAAGAAAAGGCAATCCTTTTTGGTTTTTGGTTTTTGTAATTTTTATTTATTTATTTATTTTTTTGGAGACAGAGCCTCAAGCTGTCCCCCTGAGTAGAGTGCTGTGGCATCACAGCTCACAGCAACCTCCAACTCCTGGGTTCAAGTGAGTGTCCTGCCTCAGCCTCCCAAGTAGCTGGGACCACAGGCGCCCACCACAACATCTGGCTGTTTTTTTGGCAGCCGTCATTGTTATTTGGCAGGTGGGGCTGGATTTGAACCTGCCACCTTAGGTGTATGTGGCTGGCACCTTAGCCACTTGAGCCACAGGTGCCGAGCCAGGCAATCCTTTTTGTACAGTAGCAAAGAACTTGGCTGAATTGCATTCTAGTATTTTGTGGAAGGTAGAACTTGCAAGTGATCAAACTGAATGTCTAACAGAGGATATCTAATTAAGTATTCGGTCTTCCTTATTGTTCATATGAAATATGAAAGAAGAGAGATGAATTGAGGAGGAATTGTTAAGAAAAAAGGAACCACAATATGGAGATTTGGAAAAGTATCAGTATATACATACTCCCAAAAGATAAGAAAGCTTGTTCTGAGAGAGTAATAAGGATGTGACTGAATAACCATTTGATAATGAGATCATGAATGTGACATGGGCTTTAACTAATATCACAGCAGAAGCCAGGTGTACATTTCGGATTGTTTCAGTAAAAAGATGCCAGGTGGGACTAAAAGGCGTGGAATAAAATGAGATGGAATGAAACTTAGATTTTTATGAGACTACCATAGAGCTATACAGCTACAAACCATCAGATTGCAAAGGCAATTCAAAAATCATCAGGGCTACATCTTAGATGCAAAGAGTAGGGTCACTGGTTGGTTTCAACAAGCATCTGCCCAGAGCCTTGAGAGCAAGGCCACCCAGAATCTTGGAAGCAGGACTCCCAGCAGAATCACAGAGGTGGTTAATCAGTGCTACAAGGTGGATGCACCTTAAAAACTATGCAAAGTGAAAGACAGACATAAAAGTTTACATGATTCCATTTTTGTCAAATTTCTGTAAGAGGCAAGTCTATAAACATACAAAGCAGTTCAGTGGTTGCTTGAGTTGTAGGTGAGAGCAGTGACTGACTGCAAACAGGTACAAGGGATTTTTTGGTATAATGAAATGTTTTCATAATCCAATCATGGTAATGCTTACAACTTTACTAAAAAATCACTGAATGGTACACTTATATATAATGATTATATTTTATTCAACATAAATTATATTTCAAAAATCTGTTTTTAAAATGGTGCATTCATTTTATTTTACTTTATTTTCTTTTATTTTTTGAGTCAGAGCCTCAAGCTGTCCCCCTGGGTAGAGTGCCGTGGCATTACAGCTCACAGCAACCTCCAACTCCTGGGCTCAAGCGAGTCTCTTGCCTC